TTATTAGCGAGTCAAGTCCCAAACTAGTCGAAGGTTTTCGGGGTTAACAACTTAAATATGGGGGGATTCTAGAGCGTCGGAGTTGCCTCTCCGAGGTGTTGGGAGTTTCCAACCTCACACCTGCATCAACTTGAATTTTTACAGCCACAGGAGGAATTGGCTTTCAAATCTGTGGGTCCGCCAGTTTTGATTGGGAGACTGAAAAGCTAGTTTTCCCTGCAAAAATCTAGAATGTTTGGTTCTGAATTGAAAATTGCATATTTTACTAGACCAGGATTAAGAAAGGAGGAGAAGTGACCAGAAGAAGAATGTTGCAAGAGGGAACACAAAAGAGCAAGAGTGTCTCTATGAGAGAGAAAAGCTGCTAGATTGTGAGGTGAAAAAGCATTCCCACTACAAGAGGCGGTCTGAGTCGACATAGGGAAACGATTCAGTCAACCAAAGAGATAATACACTCTCATCAGCCAAGAGACTCCCTAAAGGCCAATGAGAGTGTACACTCTCATCAGCCGAGAGTGTATCTCTCGGCCAATGAGAGTGTACACTCTCAGAGGCCGAGAGTATTTCTCTCGTCCAATGAGAGTGTACACTCTCATCAGCCGATTGTTTCTCCCGGCCGTCGCGGGATCTTTTTGGTAATCAACACCCAAAACCCAGTGGGTTTTGGGGCATCGACCCCCATCTCCTTCGGGGGGTGGCTTTTTTTTTATTAAAATCATTGGTTTTTCAACTCCCAAACCCGCTGACGGGTTTGGGGGATCAACTCCCATTCCTCGGGGATTTCGGGGTTTGGAAGTCGATCCTCCACTTTTTGGGAGTCGATTAGCTAAGACCCTAAAAGAAACAAAAAAATGTGACATAGAAGTGAAATTTTGCCAAGACCTGGGAGAGCCCCAGATCCAAGAGGAAGTCCTCCACTGGTGAAACCCCAATCAGTGGTTGTCTACCCATAAATTAGAAATAAAAAATATTTACAACATCTGGTGATATCTTACCAATTTGATGGCAAAACAATCACATATACATAACAACAAGTGCGCCTTCAAGCCAAAAATATATATAACAAGTGAAAAATCAAGAACAACTCCACAATCCCACAAGGCATTACCAAACCCCTAAGATTTTAATGGGGTAAAAGAGATGTTTTTGCAGACAGCTTGCTGACATAGAAAAAAACTATGCACATATTGTAAAATTGAGCAAACAAAAAAGTGGAACATAGCAACAGATTAGTCAGAATTGACAGGTTGGAAAAAACAAGTCATGGTGGTTTGGTGACCAGTAGAAATCAGGTGGTCTATGAGTTGCTTTGATGAGGCTTCCATTGATTGGTTCAGTTTATTGGCAGCTTTGCTGGGGTAACTCATGATGTGGTCATCCATCTTGGCAGTTGGCTTGGGGAGAGGAGGTGGATCATCAAAGTCATCATCTTCATCATCTGGTTTGGGCCTTTCATCCTTGACTGATCTGTACATCTCTGTTTTCGTCCACATGTTAAATTCAGACTCAATTGTTGAGTTGAGAAGCTGAGAGATAGACTTGCTGGGTTGAGAAGCTGAGATATAGACATCCAATTGCTTCATTTGAGGAGACCAACCAACTAAAAATTCCCCAGTTCTGTTTTATTTGTCAAAAAGGGTGTGGGTTACAGGGCTAGAGAGATTTGTGGGTTGAGCCCATATTCACCTGCCTACCAAATTGGTGGACTGATTTTTCCATAGTTTAATAGAATCATGGGTTAAGAGGGAGTCCATCGTAATGTGTTACTTTCTGAAACATTTAGGGGGGAAAACCTGTAAGTTACGATGCTTGAGAGGAATTTTCTTTTCTTCATTGGATGAGCTAACAATGTTATCTGGTGAGCTGGGAAGTTATTTTACAAAAATCCCTCCAGATATCATATTGCTTATCATTGCTTATCAAGATATTAACATCATCTCTTATATTTATTTTCTTTTTCTCTTGAGATCTTGTCTTGCCTTGTATTGTTTCTTCTCTTTCTCCTGTTATTTGCCACTGGATTAGATTGTTTTTTGCTCTTTTTCTTTTTTAACATGTATTTCTTTTCAACTTGCTTGTCAGATATACATGCCTTGAGTCTGAGAATTCACAGAGCACTCAGCAGAGAACCAATAAACAATGTGTTATTGAAAAAGTTAAGAATGTATTTCTTGTAAGCTAAAATAAAAAGAGAAATACATAAAGAAGCAAAAAAGAAAGGGTCTACCCTTAACTTTAAATCAAACAAATATATAACATCTTTAAAGAGAAAGAGGAAAAAAATCAGAAAAGTAGATTTGTTGATACCCTGATTAAAAGAGATGAGAATGGAAAGGAAGCGGTGAATCATCCCAATAAACTACAATGACACAATGAACAAGGATTGAAGAGATAAGAATTGGTGTGCAGTTGATATGGAAGGGATGCACTCAGGTCAAGTTGGCAGCAATTTGAGAGGAAGGCAAGTGCAGAAAATGGTGGTTTCAGCAAAAGAATTCAACAACTTTTTCTTCAATGGTGGAGGTAATGATTACAGCAAGTTACATCATAAAAAGGAAAAAAGGAATAGTAAATAGAATATTAAGAAACAGAGTTTCATGATTGATGAGGTTACAGATTATAACCTAACAGATTCCCCAAGGGAAAGAGAGATAAGAAAGTGCTGGAAGTGAGATTATGTATTAGTGGAAAACATTCAGGATCTTTGGAATATAAATAGACTACATAAGTACAAGCTGGTTAACCTGTGGAAAAATGGATAAAGTATTAAGTAGGAATTCAAGACTAGACTGAACACATGCAACTCCTAAAAAATGTTTCATTGAACTAAATTAGTGTGAAATCAGGCTACTATCATGCTACTCAAGAGGGTCTGACAAATGATTCAAGAGTGAGAAATGAGAGAAGAATGAGAGTGGGGTTTTAGGCAGGAGTTGAAGAAGACAGAAATTTAATGAGAGGGGTTTACAATACAATTTTTGATTCCTGAAATCAGCTTAAATCTTTCCTGGATTTGAAAATTGTGATCTTAATTTTAGCTTCGAAGCAAGCTCAGAATTGAGACCCAGGAAACTCTAAGACTTTCTGGGCTCAGGAAGCTTCAAGGATTTCCAAAGACTCAAAAGTGGTTATGAAAACCCTTTTTATGAATGGAGAAGGGTATGATGGAGTTGCAAGCTCTGCCCTTCTATGCTATCAGAACAACAAGACCACCAAGCTTAGCTTGGCAGTTATATTTATTGTGATAGAGGATAGTTCAAGATGAAGCTTCCGAGTGATGTTTATAAGGGTCTGAAGTTGTTAATGAGTGATGATTATATTGATGATGCTTTTGTTCAAAGCTTTAAAACCAAGGCGCAGAGCTCTGGGAGCACTATGCTTCAACCAGTAATGGTATGTGAGGCAGGTTATGGGCACTTGGCACTTGTTATGATGATGAAAGTGTTATGTTTGTATTTCAATATAATGTATTGTTAGGGCTGTCACTTGTATATAATATGTAATGTGGGTTGAGATGATCTGGTCCTCTGGTGGGATGATGGAGGGAACAACTGGCAGGCAGAGGCCTCCTTATATAGACAAATGTGAGGGATTTTAGCCCCAGGGTACAGGCTTTTGAGGCATTTTAGCTGGCCTGAAGATCCAATGAGAGAATTTAGCTGGTCTAATACATGCAGGTGAGGGAATTTGGCTGGTGAGCGCACTGCCTTGAGGGAATTTAGCTAGCCCACAAGGTCCTACTACAAAGGAATGCATGTGCACCTACAAAGGAATTCAATATACAATATGTGCCAATAGAGGAATTCAATACAACACAAAGGAATCCAACATTAAATATTCATCCAGTATGCAAAACAGGCCATACTGAGAGTAAAGAGTCCAAAATATATCCCGTGATAGGTTGAAATCCGCGTAACTTCTAAACTATGAGAGATATGGGGTCAGTTGTAGTGAGTGACTAGGGGTAATTTTACCTGAGAAATCCATTTCTGGTGATAGATATTTTACCATATCTATAATATATAAAGAGATAATAATAAAATTTTATATTTTCTGCGTAGAAACACAGTATTATTTCCCACAGCGCAAGTTAGGGCTTAAACTTTGCAAAATATTTTCTGGATCTGTCAAAAATCTACCTTAATTCAAGTCTCCCATCAGTTAGTGCTCACAAAAAATAGGCTCTTAAGGGTCTTCCTCACAAAATCTTACTGGAAGCCCTGCTGATGGCTTCTTGTGAGAAGCCTTCTTAGTTGGTGCAAGAAGCCACAGCACTTCTGAAGGCATAAAATTTAGCAATGAATCTTAAATTTCCAGATGAGAAGTTTATGCAAGGAAGAAAAAGAATTGAGGTGTGAGAAGCCAAAAAGGCTATCATGACCCCCACCAAATAATTGTGGCTCACAATTGAACTTTTTGCTTCTGAGTTTGATATAATTCTTTTCTGATTGCTAAATTTAAACATAAAAGTAGTGAGCTCAGCAAACCATCAGCACTACACTGTGACTGATCAAATCAACTTCTACAGGTTTTCAAGGTGGTTGTTGGACCTAGAAAGCCATGTCTATATGGGTTGGATTGCATAATATTTATGTGTTGCATGAAATAAGAATGTTACCAGTTGTGTCAACACCTGTAAGCATTTTGGAGTTTCACAACAGTTGCTTCTGGCAAATCTCACTTGTGAAAACTGCTATTATGTACAGCCAATCCCAAAACTTCATGGACTCTAGGAGGCACGAGGAAAAATATATGCTCACTAGATGTCAACTGAAAACATGTAACATTGATTGCTGCTCCCATGTAGCTCCAAGTCTGTTGAGAACCAACTGCAATGGCCCCTTTGTGTCTTATAGGGGGCTGAGGCAGAGCTGAGCTGGATATGTAATGGGTAGTATACATGAGTTAGCTTAATTTCACTTGTCATCTAGTGTTCATTTTTTTTCCTGTTGAGGGTGGTAACAACGGTGCCACAGAGACAATACGATACGGTATCAGGCGTTTATCTGTATCGTCTCAGAATTGGAATACCCAAAAATACCGGATTTGTGTTGTCTCACTTTCCTGAGACATATACATGTATCGTATTTGAAAAGTGAGAAATGTATTCTGTATTGTCTCAGATGACTGATCCCACCAAAACCGTATTTGATACATAAGATATTTGGCTGTATTGAAGAAAAAACGAAAAAAACGAAGACGAATTTTTTTTTTTTTCATTTTTAAATCCAAATCCGATACAATGTATTTTTTCACCAACCAAGGAAATACTGATACCGGTATCAGGCTCAAAATAAATACGATACGATCCGATACAAATACATGTCTCGTATCTGTGGCACTGTTGGTGGTAACTTGGAAAAAAAAACTGCACCTCAATGTTTTATTGCTGCTTTCTCCTGTATGGTCACAGTACCCCAGGGCAACTCAACTAGCATCATTATAGCTGCTTCCTCAAACCTATTGATCTATTATTGTAAAATTTTGAATAAAATCATTCAACTGCTTCAATTACTGATATGAAGAGAAAAATATTTCAATCCCCTCCTCATGCCACTGCATCTGAATCCATAAATATTCCATCAGACACTACTATCATAGACCTTGAAGATAGGGGAGAAGATCAGACTCTTATCCAAACAGTTATGCGCATTTGGGTTTGGAATCATTTCCAAATATCCAACAACTCCATTGAAGCCATTTGTCAGATTTTCAAGAAAGGATGAAATATTTGTGGGGCTACTTTGACCAAAGGCAAAAGTGGAAGCACCAAAAACTTCCACAGCCATCTTGCTAATCTCAAGCTTGTGGACAAGACCAAGAAATTGACACACATTGATCTGGAGAAGTGTTTGAGGTCAGAAGGCTCAGGATCCTTGCAACTCGAAGTAAGACAATTTTTCCTCATCTTGCTTTGTCATCCCAAAGCTAATAGTGATTGCTGACTATGTGACTGGGGCTACCTTGCAGGTTGAGCTTAACAATAGGCCGGTTCACGTCTGAAGTTCAAGGCAGGTTTTAGCACTTTTATGGATAAAATTTTGTGAATTTTGTCAAATCTCATGAATCATCAGGTTTGGAAGAATTTGAGATTTTTGACAAACTGGCAAAATTTTAATGATAAATGCTATAAAACTTGCTCCAAAGTTCAGATGTGAAGCGTCCTAATGAGTCATTGAAGAATGCTATTGTATATTTCCTAGATAAGAGTGATCTTTCGTTTACCATTGTCAAGTGCAAGTCTTTCTGTGCACTTATTCACCTACTCAATGAAGGGACCACACCCCTATTGGCCAATACCTTCCAAACTGACATTTTAACCCACCTGGCCAGAGTTTTCATCCAGTTGCAAGAGACCATCAAGCTGCATTTCATCACCAAGGAAGACAAAATCTCATCATGGCCAATGCTTGGACTGCGCAAAACGTTACAGCTTTCATGTTGGTGACCACTCATTACTTGGATTCAAACTTTGAAATGAAACCCTTGCCGTCCCTCACATCTAAGGTATGTTGCCAGGTAATTCTTTATTTCTTGTTACACTTGAATAATTACCTGTTGTTGGATCTTTCCTCTCCAGGCA